TCCTTAAACAATAGTATTTACAATAATTAATTGTCAAATATTTATATTGAAAATTAGTTTAAGATATATTTATTCGAATAAATATTTGATCTATGCTAATCTTTCAACAATATTAATGTACATCAGATCAATTCATATCTTTCACATTTTCGTTTAGTTCGATAGAAAAAAAAACATTTTAGTTAATTTAGTACATAAACAATCGTTTAATATAAAATAATAAAATATATGGTCGTCAATTGTCTCATATCTATGTTTATAAATTATAGTATACATATATATGATCGAATGAAATCAATAATCATTACAGAATAAATATTTTTATTCTCAAATATTTATTAATATTTAATGATTTATTCATATCTCTCACTTTATAATATAATAAACAAAAAAAATGTTGTTTTTATAAGAAGGAAAAAACAATATTTATTTGATATTTCAAATCTACTAAACAAATAAAAAAAAAACAAGTGAAAGTGTTATTTTATTTTATTAAATTAAGAGTATGTTTCAATGAGAAAAAAAACAAATTTCTTTCAATAATATTTGACAGATCAAGCAAGAAATTGTCCTTAAATTGTTTTATGCAATTTCCCGAGTAAATATTGTTTCTTCTTTTCTTGTTTTTTTTCCTGCTATTATCATTCTCTGTTGACGTGACACATAGATAAGATATTTTGTTCATGTTCAGCTTTATCGCAAGTTGTTTCTATTAATAAATAGAATGATAAGAAGACTCATTGAAAATAATTCAATAATAAATAGTGCTCAATTTGTTCTTATATATCTATGATAAGAAATTGCACGTCTTATTTTTTTTTTGATCATATCTACAATGAACATTTTTTCATCTAATATTCTATTAACAAACAAATCGATGAAAATTTAAGCAAATGTTAATAAAGAATAAATAGAATGATATTAATATTGATAATTAATATGAAAATTTAAAAAGTAAATCTCTATCATCTTAAAAATAATAATTAGAATACAAATATGACAAATCTTTTAAGGATTATTCAATAAATAAATGTCAGATGTCAAGAAGAAAAAAAAAGAACGAGATTATCCTTTCTTTTGATATAAATTAAATATTTTCTTGTCAAATAAGATTATCTCTAATAGATTTTTTTTTTATCTCGTTCACATAACCATGTCAACAATAAGACAAATATCTTCTTTTTTTTTTGAATATATAAGAAAGGAAAAAGTTTTGACCGATTATTTTATTTAAAAATAAATAAATTGACTTAATAATGAAGTTTTCTTATTTTTGTTTTTTTTTTCTATATGAATAGATATGAATAAAATAGATATTATATTTCGTGATAAAATTTTGTTATTGTGAATAAAAATCAAAAATTAATAATATTATAAAAAAAAAGAGTTTATCCTTCATATGAATATATAAAATGGAAGTAAAAAATAAAGACACGTCGATTTTCATAATTAAATTAGGCAACAAAATAAGATCCAAGATGATTTCGAGCATAACCACGATTGGTTAACATCGTATGATTACCCTCTAAAATAATAAATAATATAATAATAAATAACATTTGTTACATAGATTTAATTACGTATAGCTTGTTTTGGTTCTGATATATGTTCTTTTCGTCCACTTTCAGCAATACGTAATGGATGATTAAGTTCAGATTGAATTGGAGCTTTATAAACAACTCGATTTTTAAGAATACGTCTAGAGCAAAAAGAAAAGAACAAATTATATATAGATATATATTATTTAAATAGACCCATGATCATCAGTTGTAGTTTCTAATTGAACACAAGTACGTGCTTTTCCTACAAATGTTTCTCCATGTTGATCATATTGACTTTTAAGAAGAAAATCAAGAGAATCACGAGGAGCTTTTGGATCATTTGTATAAATTTCATGACGACCAGATGAAAGAGTTGCTGTTGAATATAAACGATTCCATGGTTCATCACGTTGATCAACATGTGTTTGTTCATGTTGATATGGAATTTTTTTTTTAGTTACATGACCTGAAAATGTTTCATCATTTTCAAGACGTGGATATTCAAGTGGATCACGATGATTTACTGCTCGATGTATTGTATGTGTCATGTTTACGTTTATTTTATCAGTAATATTCAACTTATTTTTGATTCTCAATGTTTTTTTACTTAAATACCATTTACACTAAACAATTAAATAACGTTTCTTGACAACCATTTAACTCATTTAAGATTATTTTGATTATTAAACATATTTAAATTTGTTTTTTTTTGCGTTAAAATTTTTATCGAAATAATTTTTGTTTTTTTCGGTTAATAATTTGTTCCTTTTTTTGCTAATAGAGGACACTAGTGCTCAATTGATGATATATGTTCTGTCTGCTTATTTTAAATTGAATGTTAAAAAAAATCTATAAGAATTTTGTTATGATATTTGTTTGCTTAAGTAGAATAACATCTTAGTTGAAAACAATAGTATGCAAACGAATTTCCTTCGACTATTAATATTCATATGTTCATTCATTTATTCATTCATTCATACTGTTTTTTTTTTATCTAGAATTGACTTTCAATAGAAAATTCACTTATATATATGATAAATAAGATTGCACAGACGGTTTGTTCTCTTATTTGAATAAAATCTAGAACGCAAAAGACAAGATCATCAACTCTAATCATGTCGAATGATAATAAATATAAGAGGTTCAAAACAATCTTATGTGTTTATCGATTGTCATTGAATATATCTAGTTGCTTCTTCGGTTGATTTATTCAATAAATCATATATTTATTATTAGACTAATCGATTTGATCATTTTATTTAAATTATATCATTTATTTTTTTGATCTCTCAATTAACTTACAACAAACAAATAAATATCATATTTGAATATAATATCGATAAATTTGTTAAAAAGGTAAATTTTATTTGTTGATATTATATTGAAAAATTAAACAATAATTTATTTGTTAAGTAGACAGTTATTTTTAATATTGTCTTGTATAATATAAATATAATTTAACTTATTCATGATACTTTTCTTTCGAAATACTCTCATTATTGAATAAAACAACAACACAAAATTTTTTCTTCTCTATGTTTTATTAATATTCGACGATAAAAAGTGATTTTTTTTAAAAAAATCTTAATTATATTAATGAGAATGTTATTCGATTCTAAAAATAACAATAACAGATTAGGATAATAAATAACGTCATCTTTCAATGTAGATTTTATTTTATTACATAATCATGTATTAACATATGACAATAGATTATCTTAGATTTAGATTTATACTCTTAAATAAGCATTTTCTTTTTTTAATACAATTAAAGTAAAATTATTTTATATCTAATGATAGAAACAAATAAGATTTCATAGATAATTACTTTTTTTTTATGTCATGCTGTGTTATTTAAACATAAATTATTATTTCATTTAAATTCTATTCATAATATTAAAAAAAAAACCAAATTATTTTATTTTATTTTATTGAGGATATAAGTATTATCGAGATATATTCGGGTTTTCTTTTTTTTTTTTGTGAAAAAAAAAAACATATTTTCTTCTTGTTGTTCTTTCTTTTCTCATTCTATGTCAGATAACAGAGAAAAAAAAGATGATTTTGTAAGATGATGATGATGATAATCAGTCGTGTTTCTTTTATGGAAATGTGACAACGCTTCTCGTTCATTTAATAAAAGAAACAAAATAGTCTTTTTCTTTTTCTTTGCCTCGTTATTGTATTTAGTTGGATGTTGACATCATTTTATGGTAAGATTCTCTTTTCTTTGCCTCTCAATAAAACTTCATTGAATTATTCATTAGAAATAGAAGATAAATCTTTGTTTAGATTTTATTTCAATATCATTTTTTTTATTATTTAACAAAAAATAATATATATATTTATAAACAATAAATCTTTATTAATAGGTCGTTTAATTGTTTTTTTTATCTTAATCGATATATATATATATGTCAATTATCTATCTTTTTTTATGATTCGATTTGACATTGATGTTATTTGTACTTTTACACGAGACTAACGAAAGGAAATCTTTACTTTTTTTATTTTAAATAAAAATAATTCTTTTATGATAAAAATAGAAACATGTTGGAATTATTGATGATCATTGAAAATTCTACTTTATTCAAATGAAATAAAAGTCATTTATACGAGATGTTTTTATTTCTATCAATCGTTAATAAATATAGGTTAAATATATAAATATGCTTATTTGTTTAATAATGTAAGGTTATTTAATAAAAAAGAAAACAACAATGATGATGATGATGTTTTGAATTGAACTATAGTTGTTGTTGAAAAATAAATGATACGAAATATAATGTGTAATGTATGCATATAAATGACATATAATGTTTTGAATTGCATTGATGTTCGCGATAATAGTTAGGTCTATATGAGAATAATAAGAATTTCACATCCTGTTTGTCTGCATTGTTGTTAAGTATTCTTTTTGATCCATTGTCTCGATTTATATTTAATAAGAGGTAGTATGAGATTCTACCTCTTTTCTTTCGAATCATTACGTTTTCTTTCTTATTTAATTGCGACACAACATACAATGATCAATTTTACTACATTTTTTTGCTTTTTCCTTTTGTCTCCTTTGGGAGTTACACGATCCAAACGGAACAAACTCAACGTGAAATAGTAGAAAAAGAAGAGAGGCAGCTGTCAATAACAGGTCAGGAATACATATTATTTAGATAATAAAGAGAAAATGAAATAAAAAAGAAAAAGTTAGTTTAAAACAAATATATATAATCATTATGTTAAAGTTAATAAGAAATAAAATGTTATTTTAAATAGAATTACAAATAACTGTTGAGCAAATTATTACTTGTAAATCAACATTTATCACAATTAGAAATAAGTTAGTTTGCTTTTTTTTTATTCAATAAAATCATTGAAATATAAATATTCGAAAAATAAAAAAAAAAGTCAATTGTAAAATTAAATAATAAATAAATTGCTTTTTTTTTTAAGATAATTGTGATGAACATATCATCTGAAGCAGAAGAAATAGAAGACAACGATGTTTATCGTTGGTATGCTGATACAATTGTTTATCGTGGTTTTGGTCCATTAATAGCTTGTTTGGGTTTTGTTGGTGGAACACTATCTTGTCTTGTTTTTCGTCGAAAAGCTTTAAGAAAAAAATCTTGTTCAATTTATTTTTTATTTTTGGCATTAGCTGATCTTTTATGTATGATTTGTTGGCTCGTTCATTTTGTTTTACCAACTTATAATATTCAACTTCTTACATTATCAAATTTTTTTTGCAAATTATTCGTTTTTTCTATGTATTTTGCTTTCGATTTGGCTAATTATATATTAACTGCATGGTATGTTTTATTTTTCTTTTATCTTAATTAAAAACAAAAACTCATTTTAAATAATTAACCAAAAAAAAAGTAGAACTTTTGTTGATTAAAAAAAAAAAGAAAGTATATATATTTATTTAAGATAAAAAAGAAAACTTTCATTTGATTGTTAATAAAATAAATAATAAAAGACAGAAATGTTAAATTGATGTCAATGACATGTGACAAAAATGCCTGATCATATTTAATAGAAAGAAAACCCATTGATAAGTCATGCACAAAAAGGCTAATGGTGCTTTTCATTATTTTTTTCAAGTATATACTATTGAAAAAAGAAAATAAGATAATCATCAATTAACTTCATGTTAATATAAAAGGAAGTTTTTATCAATTGAATTATATGTCTGACATGTCTATTCGTCATTATTCATTTTTAACATTTCCAATCAGTCTATTAAAGATTATTAATCAAATGGTTACTATCCATCTTGATTAACATTTTTATTGAATAGAATATTATGGAAATTTTCATTATATGATTTATAATATAGTTGAACATCTAATTTTCCGCTTGAATCTTTATTTGTCATTTGACTAGTTTATGGAATCGATCATCTTTATTTTTTTCTTCGAACTTATTGTTCTTTTAATAGACACATATATTTGACTTTTTTTCTTAATTATGATTAGGTTTTATTAGCTATGGATGATAATAGTTTTATTTATTTGTCTATTAATAAAGAATGATTAATAAGTATAGTTTAATTGTCCAGACATGTCAACTTGTTTTCAAGAAAGAAAAGGCTGAAAATAGTTTTCTTTTAAAATTCTTTCAAAGGCAGGAAATTTACCTAATTTATATTAAATGAATCTAGGCCATTTTCATCTTTAACAAAAAAAAAACCAGGGAAATTCTTTTAACAATAATAAGTTTTCTATGCAACTTTTATTTTTCTTTGTTTTTTTTTCTTAATAATATCTACGTTTTTATTGTTTTATCTATAAACAATTTATTTTATTTTAGTTCTATTGATCGTGCTGTAAGTGTTTTATTTCCAATTGGAAGTCGTAAATATTGTCGTCGTCAAATCGCATATACAATAACATTAATATTATTTATAATCAATACATTATTAAATAGTCATTTATTATATGGTTTTGTTGTATTATCTGCTAATTCAACATTACACACAAGTGTTCAAATATGCCATCATCGTTTTGATTCGGATAAATATCAAAAATTATTTTCAGCATATGATTCTTATGTTGATGTTATTAAAACAAATGTTATACCATTTATAATAATGAGTTTTTGTAATTTAATAATTATAATTCGTGTGTGTCGATCAAATTCATCAATTAATTTAAATAATGGTAAATATCATTCAAGAACAACGAAATCAAAACGAAAATATGAAAAAGATCGACAATTAACATTAATGTTACTTGGATCATCAATTGCTTTTCTTGTATTAACATTACCAACTGAAATCAATGATATTATTAGATCAAATTCAGGTGAAAAAGTTGTTAATGAAAAAACTTATTTATTATCAGCTATTCTTCTTTCACTTGCACATCTTAATTATGCTGTAAGAATTTATAAAAATTTCTTTTTTTTCTTATATTAATATATATATATATGATTATTATTTATTAAGATTCATTTTTACATCTATACATTAACGGGTGAAGTATTTCGACAACAATTAATTAAATTATGGCCAATAAATATAATATGGCCATATATTATTCGACTACTTCGATGTAAACAGGATGATTCTTCATCAACAAATCAAATAAATAATTATCGAACGAGACAATTTGAAAATAATTTAAATACAGATTTTGATTTATCGTAATATTGATTTTAGTTTAAATTAAATCAATTTATTTTATTCTTTTATTATTTAAATAGTATTATTTAAAACATTTTGTGTCGTTTTTTATGTTTCCGAATAATTATAATCAAATACAAATCACTAGTAAAATCAAACATAATGTATATATATATATATATGATTATTTATTATTCTTTAACTTAATATCAACAAATTTTTTCAAGTATAAAATCATTATATAGTCAAAAAAACACCGAGAAAACCTAATAGGCTTTTTGGAAGGCTTAAATTAGTGGCGTAACCAGAACATCATCGGTGGGAGGAGGGGGCAAAAACCTCGGATGGGAGGGCGCCGCCCTCTCTAGTTCCCCTTTGATACGCCACTAGTTTAAATATAATCCATTCGAATTTACAAATATATACGATGATAAGATTCTGTTACGTTTTTTTGTGAAATTTTGCACAAAGATTTAAATGGGTGTAGAACAATTTTAAAATAAATCCATTTGTAATATATTGTGAAACGAAATATTCAACAATGAATATTGAATATAACAGCTGTTTATCTTATTTTAATTGATTATCTTACAATCAGGTTTTTCTTTTTATTATAGAAAAAAATAACAAAACTAGAAATATATATCAGATCATTCTTTAATATAATTCTTTTTTTTAAAATATGTTTAAAAATTATTTCAATATAAATCGTCTAAATTTGTCTTTGTATGATGTAAGCTGATATTAACTCAGTTTTTAGAATTATTTTAAAATATATTTATAGAAAACGATTATCGAAATATTCTTTTCAAGTTTTGTTTTTTTTATTTTATTGAAATTTTCAAATTATTTTCCGAATAATTAAAATAGAATAAACTAATTTATGTAAATAAATCATTGATATTGACATATTTATCTGATTAATCCTTAATTCGAACAAATCAATCACATTTATATGTTTTATATCAATAGAATAACGGATTTGCTTTTATCAATTATTCGAATTAAAACTAAGATATGTCGATGACAATTATTTTACCTTTTTTTTAATATCTTATTTTCTTTTTCTTTAATGAAATTTAAATATTTTTATTATTCAAAACGATCTTAAATGAAAATTAATATTTCGAATTCTTATTTATTTGTTTCATATTATAATTATGAAATAATTCAAATAAACTAAATTATTATTTGAATATGTTTTACGTATAAATAATATGCCTATAATCATAGTACATATACGTATATACATTCTTGAATAAATATAAGAAAAATATCTTTAAAAATTAATTTTGTTTTTCATTTGAATGTATTCATCTAACAAAGGAAGGTCGTCAACTGGTGATTAAGGAGATTGATCATATTCGGGTCAAACAAAAGCTCTTACCGCCAAACTAATAAATTTATAATATTACCTGCACATAGGGCGCGTAGAGTGAGATAATTGAATTTCACGGTGTATAAAAACAGAGGACATCATGAACTCTTACATTTGACTATAGGATTTTTTTCATTGGAATCTTTATCATTTTATACTCAATGAAAGATCTCGTTGAGATAAGCATCTTTTGTGACGAAACGTGCTATTATTTTACTTAAAAATCAAAAGTTTAGTGGGGATCAAGATTTGATGTATTTGCACTTATTTTCTTTTCATGTTTGATATCAAATATTGTTTCTATTTGCAAAACAGCGAAGGAGAAAAAATTATTGTTTTACTGTAATTAGCACATCCCATTGTCCTAGAACATTGATGGAAATATGAAGATTTTTCTTTTTCTCATGCGGGCATAAGTATTTAAGATAGAAAAAACATTTTAGATTTACATCAATGCTCTAGAACAATGGAATATACTAAGTGCAGTAAAACATTATTTTTTCTTCCTTCGCTTCTTATGAATAGAAGGACTCTTTGACATTAGCTATGAAAGGGAAATAAGTGCAAATTACTCAATATCGACCCTTACTAAATTTTTTTTCAGTAGATTAATAGCATATTTTGTCACAAAAGATGCTTATCTCAACAAGATGTTTTATTGAGTATAAAATGATAAAGATTCAAATGAAAAAAATCCTATAGTCAAATATAAGAGTTTATAAGGTCCTCTATTTTTACATACCTTGAAAATAGAGTATCTCATTCTATGTATGCTATAAGTAGGTAATATTTTAAATTTGTTAGTTTAGCGGTGAGAGCTTTTATTTGACTCGAATATGGTTAATCTCGTTAATCACCACTTAGCGATCTTTTATTGTTAGACAAATATTGCACAAGTTTATTAATTTTATAAATGATGAAATAATTTAATATATTGTATATTGTTATTAATAGACAAAAGTTAGTTTTATTTTAGTTAAAATCCAAAGATAATTGCAATTTAAATTAATTTCAAATGATATGTTCAATAAATTGTTGATCAGAATTAAAACAACTTTCGAAAACTTTACTTAACACAAAAAAAAACATATTATTAATGTCAATATTATAATAAACAAATATTAAACTTATAACAGTATTATATAAAATTGTTTTTATTCATGTAGATATACAAAGCATTTTATTTGAAAATAAAACTTGAATTGATTTATATAAAAAGTTTATTTATTTATTTTGTCAACTTAGTTATATAATTTTACAAATAAAATAAAACAGTATATATATAAGACGATAAACTTAATCTTACTTCAATGTTTGAATAGTTAAGAAATTCTAATAATAATCAATTTATTATTGTGACTATATGCATATTTGTTTTTTCAATGAAAAATGAGTAAAATAGATAAACAAAAGTTGACACTGATATATAGTTATTCGATTATTTGAACTAAATAATGAAGATACTTGAATGATAATAATTCACAAAAGGAAGGATACTAATGTTGACTTATTTTCTTTCCTTTTATGATTAATATCCGAGACAATAAATAGCAGAAACATTCATTATTAAACATTTTCAATAGTCTATATCCTCTTATTAACAGTTCTAATGTGTCGATAATGATGTCCTTATTTGATAATAATAACCATTTTACCATTATTATTAACTCTAATGGTAGTTTCTTTTACGAAATTTTCTTAAACTATTCGATTTTCATTAAACTCATGCAATGTAATGTTAACTAATTACTTTTAAAGATTATATTAATTTGTTTGTTTTTTTCATAAAATGATTTGTTGAAGAATTTTTAATAATTGATTGTAGTTGCACAAATTCTTATCTCTCAACAGTAAATTAGTCGAATAGTTAACAATTGTTCTTATTTGTTTTTTGTCAATCGATTAAAAGACAAGAAAATTTGTTTGATCGTGTCTTTGTTTTTTTCGAGAATAGAATTTATTTAGGAGAAAAAGAAAAGAATGATTGATAAATGATAATAAATATAGATGTTAACAAAATAACCAAAATGAAATAATTGCTTGTCAATAATTATTCAATATTATATTTTAGAATTATTTTTATTGAGTAAGAATAAATATACAAAAAGAAATCATTATTTAGTTAATATAAAATTTAAAAAAAAAACTAACTATTCAATCCAAGAATTAATTTATTCTCGAAATGTAATGTGAATATCTCTATTAATTGTTTATTATTTAACTTGAATTATTTTCAAAAGATAAATCATAAGATTTGTTACAAAAAAAGTTCTTGAAAATCCTTATCTACCAAGAATATTTCATCATGATGAGTTTAATTGAAATCTAATTAAAATATTTGCATAAAAATAAGTTTCTTTTTTTACAAAATAAATTCTTTCTGTTCTTCTGACTCAATAGATTTCTAGGTAATTCGATATGAAAGTTCTTTTGTTTTTAGTTTTATTCCTTCTAATTGAGCTAAAAAAAACTTCAATCTTTAGATAAGTTTATGTCACTCTAATGAGGTAACTTGTCGGAAAAGAGATAAGAGCTGCTAATTACTCTTGTTAATTGGAACAATCATTATATAAATGAGTATTTCGAATAGGTCGCTCAGTTCAAATTCTCGAAAAACCAGTCTTGTTTTTCTTTTTGTTAAACTTATTAATGAACTTCAAATTTGTATAAAATGAAATCTAGAAGCTTAAATACGAATGTTTTTTAAAACTTTGAGAAAACTTCTCATCATTAGATATTATTTTACAATTAGTTTTTCTGACACTTCTTTTTCTCTTTTTCTCGTCTATCTTTTAAAATAAATAAATCATCGAAAACTATTAATAATTCACAAAGATATTAATATTATAATTAAATGATAATTTTTTATTATTGTCAAACAAGTTTCTTCTATATCGTATTTATTTAATATTTGTTCTTGATTTTTTTAATTTGTTAAATATTAAAAATACAAAAAAATATTTATAAAAAAGTTCCTATCGATTAAATTACTATTATTAATATTAGTGAATTTGGTTGAAGTTTTTATTTAGTCTTTATATATTAGGGCATTCCAAAAATAGTGGCACAGTGACACTTTATTACCATAGAGTAAGCTTTATGAAACTTTCTTTTTATGTGCACGGATAGTACAAATGATGCTCTCTATTTTTCTATGATATTTGATCATTAATCAGCTAATGTCATTATAATAACAGTTTGACATGAGCTATTTTTATGTCATATGTGACTGTTCTACTGATGTTTATTTAAAACAAAAAAGCGGTGTGAATATTTTTTGAATAGCTTCTGATAGAAAAGAGATAGAGAACTGTAATTTTTATCGTTCGAAAAAGAAGACAAAAATGCATCAAATCGTAAACTATATACTTTTTTTTGAGATGATTTCTTTAAGGTTTTCAATCAATCTCTTTGAAAAGAAACCTACCGTGTTTACAACAATTTTTTGATTGTCACATATATATTCAAATCATCAATGAAAAAGTCTACAAAACTGCACAATATTTGGAATGCTTAGAATTAATCATTTGAAAATTATATGAATTTTAGTCGAAGTTCTATATGATTTTTCTAGCCATTTGTATGGAAAAAAAAGGTTTTTTGTTGTTTCATTTTTGATTAAAAAACAAAATCATTTTTTCTACATCTAGAAAAGCGATTAAATGAGGCTCAGACAAAATGTTATGAAAACGTTTAATATACGACTCGATGCATCTCTGTTTTATCTTTCGAATGATGAATATCGTTGCTCTCTATCTCTTTTCTATCAGAAGTTGTTCAAAAACTACTATTCACACTGTCTTTTTTAAATAAGCACCGAGAGAACGGTCACATATGACATAAAAATAGGTCTTATCAAACTTTTATTATTATGACATTCGTTGAATAATGATCAAATACTATAGAAAAATAGAGCATGGTTTGCACTCTTCGTACATATAAAAAGAAAATTTCCTAAAGCTTACACTACGGTAATAATGTGTCACTTTGCCACTATTTTTAGATTCTTCTTAGTAACTTATATGAATAACATCTTAAGAAGATTGACAGTTCTATTTTTTATCTTTTTATGTTAATTACTGAAAACAATTCAAAGATAAATATTTTATTTAAAGAAAATATTTTATTTTATTGAGTGTAAAATATATTTCCTATATTTTAAACTATTTCTCTTCCTAATTCATCTAAGAGAACATCAAAAAAAGAAATGAATATATTCTCAATCATAACACAAATCTCAACATAAAATCAATCAGTTAACAAGATAGATATACAGAAAATGACTTAAGGCAAATTATTTGTTAATCATTCGTCTAAATAAATTGATAGTCCTTGGGGTATTAATGCTCTTTGTTTGTGATGATATGTCTCAACTGTACAGGAAAAAAAAGGAGACTATCGATATTTGTATCGTCTCTGTTTAGATTTGATATTCGGTTGACCTATTCTATTGAATACATATATTCTCATGCGATACATCTTGTTCTATTCATAAAATCATTGACTATTCAATAAATTATATTTTTATAATAAAATATCAAGAGTACAAACTATTTAACTTTATAATTTTATTAATCAACACTTCAATCAAACAAATAAACAGTTAAATAATGTACGTATACATAAGACGTTTTTTTTTAATTTTATTGTCAACATGTATATATTTAATCAAGTTAAGAATACTTCAATAAAAAAAAAAGAAGAAATGAAAAGAAAATAATGGTCATTTTCTTTCTTTTTATTTTGAAATTGTAAAAGAGAAAAGTTTGTATTTGTGCAGATTAATATTAAAATAATAATGTTATCTTATAATATAACTAATCATGTTGATTATCGAACTAAACAGATTTATATATTATAGAGAAGTAATTAATCGATATTATTCCATTTAAATCATTTGATAGATTCATCTAGATTCATTTTATCAATTTTAACTTTAAATAAAACCCATTGAAAAATTTAATAATTAATAATGAGAAAGACACAAGTCTTTTTTCTTAGAATTCATCATTTATATATATATGATGATGAAAGTACTTCAAGTACCTATCTTCATTTCTATTAACTGATATCTTATTTGACAAAGAAATATTGTAAAGCATTGTCGAAAAAAAAACCGAACGGAAAGTTTTAATCTGGATTTGGCCTATAGATTGTTTAATGGTGATTCGATGCTACTGAATTTTTCAACGAAATATTCAACTTCGAAATAGACTGAATTATAATGTCCTTCAATGATAAGTCGCAGTAGTTCGTTTAGAAATCGAATATATCGAGAAAGATATGTTCGTTTTTGCTGAAAACTTCGATAGTATCTAATCACTATTTTAAAATAGTGTTATTTCATGTAAACACTTATTTATAATTCGATAAATCGTGTTTTTTTTTTAAAAGATATTATCTCATTCAATGAATAGATTTCTTTAGTTTTGATTCATTTTCGGAGGGATGATCATATTTAATCATGTGTCTAGAGACATTGCAGACTTGATCCTAATGCTGATATAGAGAAGTGAAAGTCTTTAAAAAAACATTGATTATCATAAATCAGTTGCCGGCTAAAAACATTAAAAATATTTTCAATATATTGATATAGAAAAATTAATTCTAAAATTTAAAGTCAACACTTTTGTTCATTTATTTTTTTTAAGTCAATTTCATTTGAAAATAAATCTTTTATCAAATGAGTTAAAATAAATAGATCTTGAAAATTATTCTTTGTTTTAATATTTATCATAGTCAATAGATTAAATATCGAGTAACAATCGTTTAATAAAGATTAGTCGAATAATTATCATTTATTTCAATGATTTTATTTTATTGAATACAAATATATTGAATATTTATTTTGAAAATTATTTCTTCATAGAATAAAAAAAAAATATTTAATTTGTAAAATGTTAACGTTAATAAATGTTAAAAAATACAAATAATATAATAATATAAAGATAATATATCAATTATTTAATCAAGATAAATAGAATTATTTATTTGACATCTATATATACATAAATAAATTGTTTCGATGAAAAAGACGAATTGAGTAGAATTTGTTTTATATAGGAATAAATTCTTTTTTGAACTTCTCTGATATTAAATAAATCGAATGAAGAAAAAAAAATAAAAAGAAAGTGTTTCGATTTGAAGGAAAGTCAATAATAACATAAAAAAGTCTTAAGGATTGAGGGTCTTCTTTTCTCTTAGGCTATGTTTAAAGATGCCATTGAAAAATCCTTCATTCTTGTGTACAGTCAGTTCTTTTTTAATAAATACTATTTATTTTCTTCAATTATAAATTCAGATAAAAAATACAATTATCAATATGATTTTAAAATATTTCTTTTTAAATTAGTTGTATATTATCTTAAATAATTATTATATTTCTTATTTTATAAAATAAGTTCTATAAGATGATTTAGAATATTTTAATAAAATAAGAGTTTCTAACAATAAAATGATGATCTTTTTAACAAAAAAAAAAAAAAAACAAGAGTAAAAATCTTCGAATAAAACTAACATTGTATTTATTTTAATTGATATTTCAATGAGATAATTTTCATTAAAATAAATATTTTTTTTTGCTTGTTTTTATATCAAGTTATATACTTTGATGAAATCTATTGGATTTATTTATTTTTAATTTAATTAAATAAGATTCAAAAAGAAAAAAAATCAGTTTCTTAATCTATAATCATTATATAAAATAATCAATTATAAAAAATTTCAAAAAATTTCTTTTCTAAAACGAAAACTCAAAGATAAAGATGTTTAAATAAAAAGATATGCTTCGTTATATATTGGTTACGTATGACTTCTAGCTCAAGTAAAAAAAAAAAAAAAAAAAAAGTAATGAACGAAAAAAGAAAGAAGCACAAGAATAAATAGTTAAAGTACACAGAAATTGTATTCGTTTATCGGAGTCAAACATTGAATCTAGTCGTTTATCGTATTCGACCTTTTTTTTTTTTTTTTGACAAACGTTTTCATTTAGTGTTGCTTAACAACAATTATTAAATGAATAAAAGAGAGAAGAGAAGAGACGAAGAAAGAATCTAGTTATTTTCAAGGTTAGATTTTAAAAATATTTATTGATGATTGAAATTTTTTTTTTCTATTTAGATTGTTTTATACAAATGAAAGATTTATTGTTAATATTTAATATCAATTCTAAACAAGATAAAATATTTATCGAACATAAACAATAATAGAACAAGAAGATTTTTATTTCTCTTTTTATTACTTTAAAAAAAAAAAAACAATAAAAAACATAAATCAATAAATGGAATTAGAAACAGAAATTCCAATATGGTTTAATGGAAGAGTTAAATGGATATCAAATTTAAGTTCTCGTTCAACTTGTTCCGATGTAATTCAAGCTATATTATCATCATCATTAGATATTATTGATTCATCAAAAAAAATTCAAGATTATCAATTATATGAATGTTGGCATGGTATTGAAAGACCATTAAAAGGTCGTTGTCGTATTCTTAAATTATGGAAATCTTGGTCTCATGAATGTCAAAATGTTCTATTAACAGTTCGATGTCGTGATGAACAAAATATTCCAATATATATTCATATTCGTCAACAAGATAAAAAATTAAATAAATTAAAACGTCAACTTAAAAAAACTGATGAACAAATAGAAAAATTTAATTTAATTCATAAAATAAATAATAATGATAATAATCAAATATTATCTTATTTAAATATATCTCGTACAATAAATCGTTTAAATAATGATATTGATAATCAAGATAAATTAATATCACGTTTAAAATCTGATATTGAATATGAATATAATCAAGATTCAATTGAATATGATTTTAAAAATCTTTTATATAATATTAATCAAACATTAATATCAAGTAGAAAATTAACACATTTATCAGATGAACTTGATCAAAAAATAAATAAAATAAATGAAGATATTGATCAAAAACATATTTTATTAGATGAATTAGAATTAGATTATGCACTAGAAGATAATATTGATATTGATAGTCTTGATGATCAATATTATCAACATGAACAACATCAAGTATTATCTATATCAAAACAAATATCTCCAATAATTAATCATAATATTATTTCAAATAAAACATTAACAGGTTAATTTTGTTTTTTTTTTTTAATGTTTATATTTATTTTATTTTTTTGTTTAAATAGTTCCAAGTCGTCCAACAGCAATAGTTGAACCAAATCTATCAAGATTTAAATTAAAAGATAATTTATTGAAAAATATGACATCTTCATTATTATTAAATAATATTAATATTGAAGAAAATTTATCTAAAAAATCTAATATTGATTTAAATTATTTATCAATGGAATATAATGATAAATTAAATTCATTAAATAATGATCAATTAGATCGAAGATTTATTTCAATTGATTCAAATTATCAACAATTAATTACACTTGTTTAATATTATTTATTTAATTTTAATTAATTTATATTCAAACCGTTTTTTTCTTTTATTTATTTAATTATAACAATATCAAACTCTTTGTTTTTCTTATTAAAGTAATTTTCTTTTTCTTTTTAATAAATAAATGTTATTTATTCAAACTTCTTTCATTTCTCATTTTTTGTTTTTTGTCTATCAATTTCATTCATCGCCTTACTACAATTATATACTATATGTTCACCATTCTTGTCAATATTCAGAGAATTTTCTCACAATAACAAACTATATATGTATATATTGTTCACTGACCATTTTTTCATTGATAAAATCTTTGAAATAATATGTATTGAAGCATATTAGAATTAATTAATGATAAGATCATGATAGGTTTAAATTCGAACTTGTTAGAAACTATTGTGTATTTATTTGGTATTGAAACGATGAAAACATAGACAAAACGTGCGACTTCTTAACTCTTTTCATATATCTAAAGTATCTCCTTTTGTCTTCATTTTATTCACATTAAAATCAGTAGTAAAAATTAGCGATTCGATATTTTATAAAAAAAAACAATTTTTAATATTATAATCAAGTTTAATTGATTTACAGTTCGAAAAAACTCTATTAATATAGCTTAATTAGGAACATTTGAAATGAGTTTATTGTTCCGAAGAATAATTTAAGGAGACTCTATTTTCTCTTTTACGAATATTGAAATCAAAATGTTTTCGATTTTTGGTTTAGCTTCGAAGTATTCTCTGTCAAATGCGATAGATATAAGAAATCTTCGTTGTTAGTTAGTACTTTTATTAAACCTAACTTTCGAAATCTCTAACAGAAAAACTTATAGTTTTTAGTATACAAATTTTTCTTAATAATAATGATTATTCCTCATTGAAAAGGTGATGAGAGCATCGCTTATGAACATCTCACATGGGTGAACACAACCACTTGTCGATCACTTTAGATGGAGAAAAAAGAGGATCAATTTTTATAAAAAAAAAAAAAGAAGCGTAGAATCGTCTCCATTTCTTCGACATCGTATGTTCCATCGAGTTGAAAACCTTTTCACAGACATTGGGCGCAGTTTTGAGTGATTTATCTCTTCTTTTGTTTTGATAAGTATAGTACCCTGGTTTTTTGGTAGATTTTATCAAAAAATAATAGAGATTTTTGAAGATACCTTTCGCATTTTGGACTTGTTAGTCGAATCAATCTAACAGAAGTGAGCATTCCAAACGGTATGTAATATCTTTAAAAAATAGTCGTGCTCTATAAGGCTTATGGCGACGATAAAAGTGAGGTGGTTTCTAGTCTTTTAAAGGCCAGATATTCTCTTGAAGGTAATATTTGGGAATATGAACTCGAGAATATTCATAAACCGTGTAAAGAGAGAAGGATCATCATAAGGCGATACTCCATTAACTGAACCAATGATTATAATATGATTTGTTTGTGCTTTTTAAAATCTTTTAATTCAGATGCATAAGTCTTAAAGCATGTTTTTATTTAATAAAAAATATGAAACATCTTGTCAACCAAGTTTAACATTTACATTTCAATTTTTCGACAAAATTCGAGTTCTGAAAAAAATGCAAATAAGGAAACTCTGTCGTGGTAGAGTTTTATACAATCAATGAAAAACCTTGTCTTAAATACAAATTATTATTATTATTATTATCTTTCGTATTTAACAAATCGCTTGTTTATGATTGATTATCTCAATTGACCACAAATAATCATTTGTTCTCAGAATTACACAAACAATATGATGTTTGCTTTAACAAATTTCATGTTATAGATCGAATATTAGCACCATTAATCTTTGATTACTTTAGATTTTCAATATATCACGACAGAATCATTGTCGAACAACACTAATCAATATCGATAACATAAAAAAAATTCAAAAAAAAATTCTTTCAAATATTTATTTTTCGAAATTTCATTAGAAATATTTAATAAATTTAATTTTTTTGAAAAATACCGAAGTCGTCCATATTATTTTCATTAGTTCTGCACCACTCTTATATGACCTCTTTCATTATTGTATAAAAATGGTGTTTCGTACGAAAATCACAGTAAGTTAAAAAATTTCACTGTTGAGCACAGTTTTACCCAAATTTTCTGTCTCATCTTAAATGGTGAGCACACTTAAAAGTGAAACATCGGTTCAATCACACTCAAATTTTGTCTCAATATTATTATATTATTATGAATACCAGAGAGTGAATTATTCATCTTCCATCTCTAGAATAGAATAATAGATCAGTAAATATTCTATTATATTTATTGAGTGGTCAGTAAACAAATCTTTGTTGAAAAAGTCAAAGTTTTGTTTAGCTTTATAGATTGTATTGATCACATAGTTGATCTATAGTCTGGTGGTTTGAATAACTATTTTTTCGCATAGCAGGTCTACGGATCAGTAATAAGATGTGCAGAAAATCTGTTCATATTAATCTACACTGTAGAGACTGTCACAAGATGCCAACAATTTATCAGTTATTTGTTTGTTAAGTGTCGATTTATATATCTCATTGGGAAAATAATTCAAACGTTATGTTTTTTTTCTTTTTTTTTTTAAATTATGAAAAACTTACGTTTTGTACAATTTGGTATATTTTTCTTATATAATTGAAATGTGAGAGCAGATCTTGTTTTGATATTTCTATTGCAAACATTTTTAAAAAAATGCACAAAAGTCAATTGTCTCAAGAAAACCCATAATTTGTAAAATACTGTGACATTACATGTAAAGAAAATTTTCATTCTACTCAAAAGAGATCAAGATTAACTCTAAAAGAATGTGAAACTCATAAATTTGACAAATTGAAAGAATGTTTGGTGTTAAATTTATCTAATCAAAATACAGGATATGTTGTCGATATGTATTTTTCTAAGAATTATCTGATTAGATATTAAATTTTAAAATACAATGGATGAAATCATTTGTATACTAAAATCAAATAAATTATCATCAATAGTATCAGTGGGTCGTGTTTAATATAATGCGAATATTATTAAAAAAAATAAGTGAAAAATACGATTTCAAATACATTAACCACGCCTAAGGTTACACCACCATAAATGGTAAAGAATGACGAAAATGAATGATATGACAGTGCCATTTTTTGTCATCTTTTAAATGATGAATTCACTAAGAGAAACGATGGCCGTTTTATAACAGAAAAATGGTTGACTAAAAGGGATAATCAATTACGATAAAATTCGGTAAAACCTAATGCAGTAATACATGGTTTATAGTCGTTTCGAGCTGTTTTCAATAGTTAGAATGCTCGTTATGAGTTTATGCAACGAAAAATTGACATAAATTAAAATGAAACTATCAAATTATTTAATAAAATGCAAAAATGATTGTCAATGCAAAATGCTTTGATGAAGATAATTACGACAAATTAATAAAAAACCACGATGATAAAGAGCAAAAGCTTGTTTCTTTATTTTTCAACTTTCTTTTATTGGCATTGAATAAGAAAAACATTTTTATTGTTTTCATTTTAATAAGATAAAAGAAAATATTTTGTTTATGTTGATTAAAAAATGAATATAAATTAACTTAAGATAAATACTCTTGTTGAATATTTGCTTTTTTATTGATTATTCATTCGACACGTGATTTGATAATATTATTGAACAATTATTTATTTATTAATCTTAATGATCACCAACATAAAACTATTCCATCTTCATAACTCGTTTACCGAATAAGTGTCTTTTCACTTATCAATCAAAATTTTCTAAATAAATGTAAACTATTTCAAGTGATTTTAAAATGTCATTTTCTTTTTTTTTTTTTATTGTTGAATGTTCTTGAAGAGATGAATAACATTTTCAATGAAAATATGTTATTTGCCATAAATGTGTAAATCTATGCGTAAAGAGGATAAAGGACAATGTTTCAATGCAATTGTATATAGTGATGATAATAACCTTCTCACACGTCTATATAATCATTATATTTGCCTTTTTTTTTCTTATTGAAAAGTATTTCTTGTTCATTCACTGATAAGAATAATTCTTTTTTCTTTTAAATAGTGGTATGACCTTGAATATAATCTATTTTTTTTCATGGGGTGTAACTATCTATCGACGACGAAAAAGGTTAGTTATCTAATTATTTGTTTATAGTATATATTAACATAGATGAAAAGTAAAAAAAAAGTTAATTTATGTTATTGGCAAATTTTCATAATAAAAAGAAAATTTTCATTACATAATAAGCTAAATCATATTTAGATATCAACAATAAAAAAAAGAACGTTTTCTTTCTTCTTTTATACTGATATGACGAAAAAAAAGAGATGAAAAATAAAATGTGTCACTGTTATGAAAGAAAATAATTGTTCTTTGTTTATTTATATTGTCTGTTTGTAACAAACTTAGAATATTTTCGCTTATTTTTATGATGGGAAGAGAATTATATAAGGAATGATAATACAATATAATTATTATAGCTAGCTGTAATTTATCATATCTATTTGTATGGATTTAGTTTATTTTCAAAAGAGTAAATCTTCTTTTATGAGTTGAAATCTTTTTTTCTTATTTCTCTAAAAATCTAATCGAAAAAAGTTCAATTTTTGCTTAGACGAAGCAAATATGAAAGAAAAACAAATGATTGCATCATATTGATAGATTACTAAAGCATTAAATTATCTTTATTGCGTATTTATTTTAAATTTCGACATGTCTTAAGATATTATAAACTGCGAAATAAAACACAACAAGATCAACACGAGTAAAAAGACTATAGTTGACAAATGATAAGGTCATTAAAAAAACCCAACGGAAGTCTGAAGAATATCTCTCGACAGTATATGTTCTTCATTCTATTTTAGTGAATAAATATATTATAATTTATTAATAATATATTAAACTCATAAATGTTTAATTACAATAGTTATTCTCACATCGTTTACATGACTAATAACTAGACAAATATAAATATTTTATCTTATAATGAATCATTGAAAATTTTATTTTGATATTACTTAAAGAATAAGCAAAAGCACAAAGCTCGATGAATTTTGATTTATTTCTATGAAAAAAACACCTTTTCTTTTTTTTTTTTCTAAAAAGTTTGTTAATCAAATATTTTCGTAAAATAGAAATAGCTTGGTAAAAAGGTCAGATTGATTTCAAATCAAACAATAAGTTTTATTAAGATGATTATCATTTTTGTTTTTAACGAATATGAGACACTCTAATCATTTAGAATAATAATTTTTGTCACTCTTTTGAAAATAGAACCTTTAACGATAAATCCTCTTTGGTCTATTAAAGTATTTATATAATTAACTTTGAAAAGAATTCTAAAACCAAAAAAAAAAGTATCGAATTAATATTGTTTATAGAACATTAATACAACAATTGGAAAAATATAACCTTGATTACTATAGTTGTCTTTGATAATAATGACTCAGAAAAAAAAACCAAATTTTCAATATAAAGAAAGACAAAAAAAGGAAAAAGAAAAGTCCACCTTGTTAAAAAATCTTTGTTGTGTTTTTTTTTCTTTTCATGTTTGAAGACGCATTTTTCTTTTTAATCATGTTGACATACATGAAACTGATAAACATTTCGTATGGTCTAGAATGAACAATTTTCTTTTTTAATTATTTTATCATATTGACTGATAGTCTTTAAATAAATGAATACTTTTAGAAGGTAAGATATTTTTTCTTCTAACATATTTAAAAAAGACTTATAGAATAAATCATATTAAGTCAGAATAATTATAATTGATATTTTTCTCATAATATGTTGACGGAATTTCTTTTTCGAGTCGAACTTTAATTTTATCTTAAATTATTTTTTTTCTATATGAAACAAAAAAATCTGAAATAACACTTCGAACATTTGAAAATCTAAAACTAAATTGTTTATTATTTCATACTCTAAAAAAAGAAAACATTTTTTATGAATTGAATAAGATGTTTAGATTCAAAAAAAAACGATTATGAATAAAAGATACTTCATAAACAATCAATTATTATTAATCATTGAAGATTTTTCCCGGCACAAATAATTTTTTAGTGATAAGAAAAATAGTCAATAGATAATTAAAAAAAAAATCTTTTTTTCATAGAAAAGTATATTTCCATGGAAACGATCAATTTCAAAAAAGAAAAAAAAAGAATCATTCGATTTTGTTTAGTTGACGTTGTCAAGAACTTTGATTATTGATCTAGAGAGAGTTATGATTGAAAAGTGCTGAGACAATAACTGATGTCATCATTGATTACATATTTAATGGGAAAGTTTTTTCTTTTTCTTTTTTTTTTGTTTTTCATCACCAAGCAAATATTAAAAAACCGAATGTTAATATGAAAATATTTTCTTATGAATTAAAAAAGAAAATTTAGTTTTTGAAATTAAATAAATATTAAATTAATTTAAATTAAATATTTTTAAAAGAAAAACTCGTCAAAAATTGGAAAATAATTCTTCAACAAATAATAAAGAAGATTCATCAAATTCAAATGAAAATAATCAACCATCATATTCAACATCAACTTGTTTACCTTATTTACAAATTGAATATGCTGTATTTACTGGTTCTCTCGCTCAATGTAATATTGGAGAATTAATTCGACAACCAGAAGGTGTTGATCAAAATGAATGGATTGCTAGTCATAGTTTGTATTCTATTTTAATATTATTTTTTTTGTTATTATTGTATATAGTTGTTTCTTTTTTTAACCATATCACTATATTATATGGTGCAATATCTCATTTATGTACAACATCAACATGTCCAATTATGATTGGTCCACAAAACAGGTTTGCATCAAATTTATTAATTATTAATTTTTTTTTTTTTATTTTATTTTCATTGAAGTTTATATTATTGGATTGATGAACGAGGAAAAAAAGTGAAATATTCAGCACCACAATATATTGAATTAATCATAACTTTTATTCAAAAAACTCTTTCGAATGAAACTATTTTTCCTACAAGACTTGGTAATTATTATTTATAAGTTAAATACTTGATCAATATTGAAACTAAAATATATAATTTTAATCATATTAGATTGATTGTTTGACTTAATGTTGATCTATTTTAATCATTATTTATTGTGATTGTTAATTGAAAACAATTAACAAATATCATTATAGAATACAATTAAATGATCAATATCGATCAAATATAATTCAAACAATTTTATTCTATAAGATTCTGTTTTTTTAGATATATATATATGACAGGTTATTTCAAAAAGTTTTTTTCTAAGTCGTATTTCCTTTTGAAAATCTTTATTACATTAAGGTAGATTAAAATAATGTTCTCATAAAATGTAAATTGATGTATTTCATATTATATTAAGAACTGTCTAAAAAGATTTTAGTTTCTTGTTTACTGATAAATAATTCTAATTATTTCTAAGAAAATAAATTCAATGATTATTCATTAAATAGTTTCTCTATAAATTATTTTAATATTCACTAGAAAATTCTTCAATTAGACGAATATATATTTTTCTAAACATATTTAATTGTCTAATAAAATTTTTTATTGTGTATATTTATGATAATTTATTCGATTATGTTCGAATATTGAATAGTTTATCAAAGATATACACTAAAACCTTCCATAGTAAACACTTCTCTATAATGGACATTTTTAAAAAGTCTGCAAGATGTTTACTATAGAGAAGTTTTAATATATTCATTTTTATATGAATATAATATAAATTTTTATTAATAATAATATCTATAAAGAGATATCAAATCTTAGATAAACATATTTAGTAAATCAACGTCATTGAGTCGATGACATTTACTGATAAAATAACTAAGAAGTAAATCAATAATAATTCTTTATTAACAGATGTTAGATAAAATAAATTAAGTATTGAATTAAATAGAGCAAAATGTCTACTCTCGAATGCACTATAGTTGATAGATTTAATGATGACCTTTCAGGATATTGGATAAATTTTTCTGAACCTTCATATTGAAAAAAAATAGGGTTTTTAAAAATTTATTTTCCGGTTTTTCGAGTATACTATTTGCCCGGGCAGATCTTACTCAATAACGACTCAATATAGAAGTGATAATGTTTTTTTTATTGCATAGAAGACAGTTAAGGCTAGATCGTAACAGAGCCCGATCTTTGAATTTCTGTATTGGCGAAATAAAAAACTTACATATGTCATTTTTATCAGCGATTTTTTGGTTATGAATTCGAGAATTTTTCGAAGAAGATTTTTTAAAAAACAAACAAAGGGAATTTCAAAAAATCGAGTTCTGTTACGACCTAGCACTAAGGGTACTCTACAACTTAAAAACCACCCCGGCATGTTAACTCGTATCCTGATTGTGAAAACCGTGCCCGCGTACAGGGTACTTTAGACTAATAAATTGATTATAACTCGCATATTTGAGGAGATATTTTAACCGTGATCTACTCGAGCTAAGACTGAATTCTGTGGAAAAATAAAAAAAGTTCGTTTGTGAGGGGGGGAGCCCTTAAATAAACCGAATAATGTAAATAAATATCAAATAATGTTAATATTAATTTAGATCATAAATTTCCTTCAACATTTTCGATAATAATTCGTAAAATGGTACGTTTATTATTTCATTGTCTATCACATATATATGCTGTTCATTATCATCAATTAATACAATATGAATTACATCCACATTTAAATAGTTTATTTCTTCATTTTATATCATTTTTAATTAAATCTGATATAATTAATTCGGATTGTTCAACTGTAAATACAAATTCGAATTCGAATTCATTACGAATATCTGCTCAATTTGAAATACGTGAACTTCGAACAGAACTTGAATCATTATCTCTTCTATATCAATTATTAGCTAAACAATGGCAACATGCTTATGCTCAAGCATCGGCACTTAAAAGAAAAGCATCAATCACTCACTAAGATTTATTTTACTTATATATATATTTACAATAATATTTACTTTGTTTTTACTGTTCTGGTTTTTAGAAAGAAGATAAATTGAACAATTTCTTGTTTTGATTTTTTTATTTTTCTGACAATGATTAGGTTTTTTTTTCTTTCTTGAATCTTACAGTATTGTGATATTAAATATTCGTTTTGAATGAATTTTATTGCATCAACATATTAAACAGTTGGTTTTTTTTCAGTGATTAATTCGTCGAGACTTTTTTTGTTAACCTTTGTTGTTTTTTTTTCAAAAAAAGAAAATTTATATTCGTTCCTAACAGGATTTTTTTGTTGAAAAACTATCACATATGAAACAAAAAAATTTAAATTGACAATCACATTACAACTAGAATATGTTAATGTTAAATAAAATAAAACTGATTTGAAAAGGATTTGTTCATAAATAGTAACAATACATCGTAATGTTATATTACATCGAATGACCCATTTATTGTAGTTCTATCTTAAAAACATATGACAGTCAAAATGTTCAAACAAATTCTATTGAAAATATCCTTGTGATAAATATTGATTCAATGTTTAGAACAAATTAATTTCTATGCTCAAAAATCTATTCATTCTAATCAGTTACTTGGCCAACTTCATTTTACTACTTTCATTTATAGTTTGCTCAAAAAGTAGAAGATTTTCAAAAATTTTATCAATTATATTTGATATGAATTTTATTATTCCAGCAAAATGAACACAAAACATAATAGGACTCTTTACTGTCACATACTTGATAGTGAATATTGTTTCAAAAAAGAGATATTTCATATAAGCCTATTTCTACTATAAAATATTAGTTAGAACAATTATTGATACTATAGATACTGTGAGACCTTTAAGATATATCAGTGTGTTTGAATATTCCTTCACTCATTAAAAATTATATGGTCGTCATAAACATGATAAGAACAAATATGAAAATACTGTTCTTGTCGTGAATTATTTGTTCATATTCTACTTATTTTGAGTCGTGTAGATATTGATCGATATTAGTAATAATTTGATAAGAAGAGTAAAAATTGACATAGTAACATTCATTAACAGAATATCTATTGCAATTAAAAATAAATTAAAAGAGTAATTAGAACATCTCGATGAAGAGATTCCTGAGTTAGTCTGTCGTAATTTTTCAAAAGATATTTTTGAGAACTTACGCATAGTTTCTATCGATATGAAAACTCGATCTGATTTATAGCAGTTTTATTCATAAAAAATAATATGATAATACAATTATCAAAATGAAAATGACGATAATCCTTCGTTCATATGAATGTGAGTGTAGATTACAAGACAACAAGAAAAATGTTTCTAGGACAAAGTTGAGAATCCAGTATTTCTGCATAAACTTTCTTTATGATCCATGATACATCTTGAAAATCTAACTATGCAAGATGATATATGAAATTCTGCATCCAGTACAATCGACTGCAAAGCCAACACAGTTTCAGGAGCAAATTTCAACAAGAAATACTCGAGTCTGCTAGTCTTTTGAAATCGATTAAAACTAACACAATTAACTCGATACTGGCAGTAGTACGAACGAATGTGTCACATAAGAACTTCGTATCTAACACTGATTCGTACAAATGGCTCATCCGCAAAGAATAGAGGATAACCTAAATAAGTTGTTAAAATAGACTTTTTTTCCGTTGTATAAAATCATTTTTATTCATTATATAAGTTAAATCTATTATGTATAGACAAGTTCATATACATATAATATTGCTGGAGTACTGGTGCAGTAATTTGAATAGTCGTGTTCATAAGTTGTTCTAATATGATGAATATTTTCAGTGGAGTATATGAACATGAGCAATTATTTTACTTTCACTAAACTTATTCTAGATGTCACCATTTTTCAAGAAATTCAAGACATTTTCCCGATTGAAGAACAAAAAAACCCATTAAGAATAATTAATCTATTGAAAAAAAACAACATGTAAGGAAAAATATACTTCAATTCACAGAGAAAAAATAAGATACAAATTAATGGAGAACTTTCTTGAGATTTAATTTTTAAAAAATCGTATATGACAAATATATATATTCATAATAAAATGAGTATTATTTCATTTTTTGAATAATTATTTTCTTTGATTTTAGCATACTTCTAGATAAAATATGAATAAGATATATTTTATTTTAGTTTTATTTAGATACTATAAATAATTGTTTTTTCTTACATTTACTTTCAAATCAAACATATATTTCTATCGAATTATTTTTTTAAGATTTTTTTTTTTATGAAAGAGAAATATATATTGAAAGTATTCTTTTTTTGAATTTCTATTAAGTTAAATATGCGAACGAGTTCTTTCCATAAGAAATGAAAGAAACTTCAATGTTGCATTTTTTTTTACAATCGTTTTCTTATTTATATAATAAATACTACCATTAATATGATACTAACACATTAAGTATAAGATTAGTTTACAAATAGGTAAATGCTGTATGTAAGAAATTGTTTTTTGTTTTTTTTTTCTTTAATCATCATTAAAATTGTTGAGACAAGTCTCACCGTAATTTATTTATAATTGAAAAAATTTAATAACGTTCTTATCTCATCGGAGTTCAAAAACAAACTATTTTCGATTTGATTGATAGAATTTTTTTCTAATAAAGAAAATCATATCTTAGATCTTATAGATTTGAAGAAACCTTATGAAAAACGTAGAATGAAATCTGGTTTCAACAAAAATTAGATCAAATCTTGATATATGGTTCTTGCAAGATCGTATTATCTGTAAGCACCTCTATGATCTTTTTCGAAGGATTATATTAGATTTTGGAAGAATTTATCATCAACAGCTGATGTGAGTATAGTAGACACAAGGAATTCTCATAAATTTTCGGCTGATTCTTTAAGGATTGTATAAGATTATATATAAATTATGAAATATCTAATAGTTTAATTGCTTGACTTGAATATTTCCAGAATAATAGTTAAAATTTTCGTTTTATTTTCAATCTTTACAAATGTTTTTCTTTAATTCTATGACTATGTAGTATAAATATCTTAACATAATTGAATCAAAAAGTAGTTTCAAATATGATTCGATATTAGTTCTAATATATTTTTCAATGACAAATAAGTCCAGTTGTTTTGTTCTTTTGATTACATTTTCTATCACTAAACATAATGTAAAAATCAAAAGAAAGTCTTTTAAAATAAATAGTAAAATCAATAGAAAATAATTCAAATCAATCAAATTATTTGATAATGTTCTAATTAGTTGATTCAACAGGATAATGATCAGTTTACCAATAAAAAAAAGGCAGAGATAAATGAAGTGTTAGTCTGCTATTTTAGCTAGTATTTATCTGTATACATTCAAGTGAGTTGACGATTAAATTAGGAATAGTCGTTGAACTTAAATAACTGAACGCAAATAAAAGATATAAATTTCATATTTACAGTGATGTTGAACTAACCTACTATTTAAAATAAATGAAAATATGGTAATCATGAATATACTTCGATGATAGTTTTGAGTGTAGATTAAATCTATGACAGCTTACAGTTCTAAGAATTGGTACCAGTAACCAGTTCTTTATTTGAAAGCTGGACTTTGGTAGTAGAGGTGTACTGCTCGAATTGGTGAACGATGAGCACGCAGCTAAGGTGTGTATGTGGCTGTTTGTGGGTATGAGTGTTTGTGCTAATCATCAGCTGAACCCCCACTCACATTCACCAACATCCCCACCCTAACTCACACTTGACACCTACTTTCTCACTCACATACAGCCACAGCTGCACACCCTTACTCAAACTCACCCCTCCATCCCCACACCTCGAGATGTGCACGGGTCAAACAAGATTTTCTGATCTCAATAAAAGATGTACGCGCTGTTTCATCAATTTTATTGATAAAGACTTGTTTGACTGCGCATTTTGTACAGAAATGTTTTGTATTTCAGTCTACGTATTTAAAAATATATTACAGGTATGCTTTATGAATTAATTCTGAAAATATAATGACTGGGGCCAAATTGGTCCTGGTCATTGTTTCGCTAAAGTGATTGATAGCGAAGGCTTGTAATATATTTTGAAATGTATAGATTGAAGGAGCAATTATTTCTCTACAAAATGCACAGTTAAACAGTATTTTAACAATGAAGCTGATGAAACAGAGTGTAAATCTTTTATCAGGACTAGAAGTTTTCTTGATCCCGCGTATATTTTTACCTGCATCCTCACCCTCACCCAAACTCCCACTCTCACGCCCACACACAGTCACATCCTTATCCCAATTGACATCCATACCCTAGTTGCGTGCTCAATTTTCCGGTGTTCAACGTTTCCGTGCTTAATGTTCCTCGTGCTGATCGTTCTCGTGCACATCGTTCCGGTTCCGGTTCTCGTACTGCTCACGCTCATGAGCGCTCATATAAGTGTGAGCGTTTCTTCTGTACTTCGAATATACGAGCAAGCTATTGTAAGGGCGGTGCATACTATTGTTCAGGTCACATGGAAGAGGCTCATGGATAATCGGTACTCGGCCCGAACAATTACTATGTCTTGTCCTGAGAAACGAAGAAGAAACTTGACTAAAATCTGATTGGCTGAGCAACGGCCAATCAGATTGTAGTAGGATTTTTTCTTCGATTGTAAAAACAAAACATAGTGTTATTCGGGCTGATTAGGGTCATCGGAGGGTGCTCTTTAATTTGATTCAAACTGCAGAATGCGTTGTCCTTACGATAGCCGAGAAACAACTTATTCAAATCTGATTGGCTGATCAACGGCCAATTAGATTTGAATAGTCATTTTTTTCTCCTATTGTAAAGGACAGAGCATACTATTGTTCGGGCTGATCAGCGATTATCCATGATCCTCGTACCATGTGATCCGCAAAACAGTATGCTTTGCCTTTACTATAGCTGACTCGTATATTCGAAGTATAGAAGCAACGTTCATATGAGCGCTCATGAGCGTGAGCTATACACCTCTGCTTGATGGCCAATTTTCTTCAGATGAACTTGTTCTATCAATAATGGTAATCTAGCGATTCTACTCAGTACTTGCTCTAGTTATCAAAAAAAAAGAAAACTGATTACCATACGCCTTTCTTTGACCAGGAACTGTCACACGTATATTCTAGATCGTTAAATGACAATAGACTCATTGATTTACCGATCTGTCGAGATTTTTCGTTAGTTAATTAAATCGGATCAATTTTAATTAGTTCGAATTGTTTTATTTCGATTAAAATTTGTTGTCAATATACATTGGATAAGATAATTGTGATAAATAATGTATTATTTAGATAAAAAATTGAATATAAATCTACTGTAAGAAAGATTATGTCAATAGATCGGTGTCTTCTTAATAAATTTCCAGTTGAAATATTCCATATGATATTTGATTATCTTTCAACAGTTGATATATATCGTGGATTTATAAAAATAAATTCTTATATTGATTCGGTTGTTTCAAATTACAAAAATTATCAATTAAATTTTCGATCGATTCTTAAAAAAGAATTTGATTTAATTTGTCGTTATATGAATCCACATGGTATTGTTTCATTAATATTATCTGATAATATTGATACTCCTGGTCAATCAAATTTATTTTTATCATTATTTAAATTTGAAGAATTTCATTATAATTTACGTTCTTTATCACTTATTAATCTTAATCAAGATTCAATATTATTAATAAATAATTATTTTGATATGTTTACTAATTTATCATCATTAACAATACTAAATATAATAAGTGAAGTTCCATCAAAATTATTTTATATTTATCCTAAATTAAATCGTTTAAATATTTCACATGATTGGTTATTTAGTAATAAACTATCATTGATGCAACTTGAATATTTAATTATATCAAATCGATGTAAATCAAATGAATTTGAAACAATAATAAATCGTTGTCCAAAATTAATTTCACTTAATATTTGTCTTGAAAGAGATATTCGTATAAATATAAATGGATTAACATCAAATCTTTCTCGATTAATACTTAATATGTCTCGTAAGTTACTTTTCTATTATTAGTAAAAAACAAAAAAAAAACAAAATTTATAATTGATTATTATTATTTTTTTGTAAATAGTTTATCAAATAAATATAATTGAATTAAAAGAAATTTTAAATTGTTTTCCTTATTTAATTTATTTTGAAATTGAATGTCGAAGTGATCTTGATTTATGTGATGGATATCAATGGGAAATATTTATTTCAAATAAATTATTTTATTTAAAAAAATTTTTTTTTAAATTTCAATTAATATCTACAATTATATTAAATATAAATGGTATTGAACAAATATTAAAATCTTATTCATCATATTTTTGGTTAAAAGAAAAACAATGGTTTATTGCTATTGAATGGGGACAAAGATTAATTTATTCAGTTCCAAAATTTTCATGTCAATCAGCTGATAGAAATTTTCGTCCACCAATTCATACAACAATAAATAATGAAAATATTTTTTATGATAATATAAATGCACTTGCACTTTGGGGAGAAACAAATTATAAATTTCGATATGTTAAAGAATTATGGCTTGTTGATGATCCATTAATGATTAATATTTTTGATGTTATTGATCTTAATAAAATTGAAACATTAATATTTGTATCATCAAATAATAATTTATCAATTGATACAATATTTAATTTAATATCAAATATGAAAAATGTTAATTCAATACAATTTTTTGATATTCCATTATCATTAATTGAATATAAAAAACGAACTTTTATTATTCGACAAATTCATTCAATTGAATTAAATAAAGAATTAAAATCATTATCATTTATTGAAATATTAAATAAAATTTTTCCTGAAATACAACGTTTAAATATGAAAATAAAATCAATTGAAGATATTCGAAAAATATTAAATTCTTTTTCAGAATATTTATCAAATGTTTGTTTTTATTGTAATACATCAAATATATTATTAACAAGAGAATATTTTGAAAAAATCATAGGTCATACAAATTTTACATATCATATTGATTTAAATTCAATAACACTTTGGATTGGTATTGAATATGTAAATTTTTTTTATTTATTTTATTTCGATATTTGTTTTGCTTTATCTTTTTTTTTTGTTTTTTTTACTTTTAGTCATCAAATTCAACTGAATCCTTACAAAGGAAATCTATTGGTTGTTTTTCATGGTGTCATCGACGAAAATCTTTATTGAAATGATTTATAATTTCATTATTTTTCACTTAAAATTATTGTATACTATTTTATTTTTGAAAAATACTCACAAATTCATAAATAAATTGTATTTTTCCATTTTATCTTGTCAACTTCATTGTTTTTTTTTTTCTTTCAAATGTCTAATAAAATATTACGTATGAATATATTTTAATTTATATTATGTCTGTTTTCAAAAGAAAAATAAAAGATATACGAGTTTCAATTGAAAGTGACAAAAACACATTTCACTTTTTTTCAAAAATTGTTTCTGACGTGACCTTTTTTTTTCCTATTTTATGTCACTCAGAAATGTTCAAAACAAATTCAATTAAATTTTCTCAGTATGAACATTAGTTTTAACAAATTTTCCAATTTATTTAACAGAATTGAAGTAAAAGCCAGTTTTTCAATCAAATTCCATTTTATTACAAGATTGGTAATGTTTTTTTTTATTGACTTCTTTCTTTTGAACATGAATGGAAAATACATTCATAAATGATAATTTTTATGGACTATCCAATCATATGAGAAACAGTAAAAATAAACGAATTTTAAGAAAGCAGTATTACGATTTATCAGTGCAAGTTTTTTCGGAATACAGCGGTATATAATATGTGTTATTTAAAATAAATATTATAATCAATTTTTGAAAACAATTTCAAAACTTTTCTATTATATGACCATTTTTTGCTTGATCGGATTAGGAAAACAATGAAAAACATATTTTTCTCTAGATTTACACATTTCATGTAGAAAATCTACTTTTATTAAGGTCAATGGTTTAACTAATTATAGACTTACTGTGCTTTTTCTCTGTAATATTATTGCAAAGTCAATGTGTATCTGCTATTTTATTCAACAAACAATTATCAATATGACTATATATTTATCCTTAGAAAACTTTTTTTTCTACTCTCTACATTGAGCTATTATGTTTACATTTAACGATAAGATATCATACAATACGTACGTGAAGTTAGCACTAGATTTGAGTAGAACTTGTCTATATTCATCTATGATTCTTTTCCATGATTTCTATCATTGTTCTAAATAGAAATCGATGAGATTTATCCAATGGTATATTCAGATTTTCGATATTCATGACTATTTTCTGAAAATTTCAATAGAAAATATTCACATCATATAAGTTAATTTCGTTGTAGTATACCGATAAATAATTCATTCCAAAACTTATTCTTATAAGTTTTTATTTTTGAATGATTTCAAAAAGACTTGACTAAATCGTTTGTCGGACAACATATATGTAAACGAACTGCTTTTCAAGATATTTGAACGTGTCTTACTTTGTCAAACTCAAGATGAATATATGATATTAAATCTCTTGATTGTTTCAATCGTAGAAGATTAAGAAGAGTGTCTATCTATGAAGATACTATCTACATGATACGACACATCACTTATTTCTTGTTGTACTCTATATTAACTATTTATTTCATTTTTTATTCGTTCATTACTTATTTAAAACATTGAAGACTTCTTTACTGTTAACAAAGTCGTGTTATTTGTATTGTGAGAGATGACTATTACATATAGTATTGGTGTCACTCTGACATCAAGATAACAAAAGTGCTCTGACACACATAAGTCATATAAAATTTGAACAAGACAAGTATGAATATACGAATATAATTACTTCACAAATGATATTTGAAAATATTTTCAAAATCAAAAATACAATGTTAACAAAATTATTGAGATAATGAGAAATATCAAATAATAAATGAACATCTAATGGATGATTTCTATCGAAGAGAAAAGATCCTACGCTCTAACAAGCTTCAATACAACACTCTTCTTAGCTATAATAGATAGCATATAGAATTATCATGAAAACAAGGATAGCAGTTGTGAAACCAGCTTCGAAACGAATTCCACATGAATAAACATAAACAATTAAAGAGAAATCTCTGCACTTCGGAGTTTTCTTTTTTAATTGCGGAAGAACATATTTTGAAGCATAGAAAAGTTAATTATACTATTGAATAGAGCTGTTCGGGTTCTATTCGGAATAATATTATATGAAAATATTTTCTATTATTTTTTATATTTCTTCTATATTGAAATCTTTCTTCGTGTGCAACTGCAGGATTAGTCACTTTATCTTTAATTGAATATTAATAGCAAAACTATCAAAAACGAAAACATATTTACATCAGTTAAGTATATGTTTTTATTGAGTCTTATACAGAATAAAAAATATAACATATCCATATACTTTTCTACATCTTGTTGATAGATATTTACCTTTACCCCCATAATAATACTAACTGTTTTTTTAATCTTTTGTGAATAGCTTTTTGATTTTGCAAAAAATACAATATGTGTATTTATTTTAATTCAATAATATGAATGCAGAACAAAACCAACATATAAAATAAAAAATTTTCTTTTCTTCTTTACAGTACATGTACTTCTGTAAACAACTTTCAATGTATACATAAAATCTGTTTCACTCAAAATAATTAATTCATCAAGTAAAGAATATAATTATTGATTCATTCGTCTTCAACTTCGAATATGATAAGATTAAAAAGAGTTAGAGCGTTCGTATGAGTGTGCTTTAGATCCCATCTTGTCCAACACTGACATACACGCATATCTACACCTACACCAAACATTGATATAATAATAAATGATGCTCGTATTTATAAATAACAACAGCCTTTTAACTTATCTATGCGTAAATATTAACGAATATTGTGTTTAAATGAGAATTTCTAAATCTTTTTTTATGTCATTATCCCGGATGACAATTCCAGTTACCATTATATGTCATACCATCTGTTGTTTAACTAATTCATATGAAAATTTTGAAATGTATTTTTATTCAATAGCAACAATTTATGTCGGTATTTATTGCGCAGTACAACATAAATTTAAATATTTCTCGTAGGTAAAGAAAACAATTTCAAAAGAAGATATTTTTTTTTAAAATAATCTCATAATCTTCTCTTTTGCAAGTTGTATATCTTAGAGACAAAGTCAAGATACAAAATATTTTTTTTTCACCGAACGATAGTTTCGGAAATTCTCTACACACAGCATGTAAAGAGTTTTTTTTTGATATCACGCGTTCTGTATTTTATGCAATATTTCTAAAAATGACAATTGCAGTTGCCGATGGGAGGTAAAAGATCAATGTGTCCTTTTCCGTAAACTGTAAATCTTCTAAGTTATTAATAGTATGATATAGAAATATTATATATTATTTTATTATATAAAACTAAATAGTGAATCAAATATTCTTGAAAAAAAAACATTACAATTTATTGATATATATGCAGACATGATGTGACATTTGTCTTGAAGAACAGACAAGAATCTGGTTTATTTCTTATTAAAACATGATGGATTCAATAATAAGAAATGTAAAAAATGTTATAATTCATTCGAGATTATTTTTCTTTTTTGATTAATCAGACGCGAGACATTGGATCTTGAACTTTAGGTAGGAATTTTGTTTGTTTTCTCTAGACAAAAAGAAAAAACTCTTATTTGAATATTAAGATTCATAAGAATCTTGACAGATCGATCAATAAAAACAATGATCTTGAAAATCATATTTTTCAAAATCTAGATTAGTTAATTCTTTTTTGTTAATCTACTTTTATTTGATTTCTTCTTGTCGTCATTTATTATTAGATATCAAACAGATCTAAACAATCAGATATCTTTCAAGATTGTCATGATTTCTTGAGAATAGGTGAGCAGAATAACGAATAAAACGCTGGAAAAAATTGAAAGTTTTTCAACAGTACAATAAGCGAGTGAATCTTTCTACACTTGAGATATTCCTGAAAGCAAAAATCACATTTATTTAGTTTTATCATCAATCATATATATTGAATAGAAGTAAGATATTATTTATAGAATATTCGTCGATCATAAAGACGTTTATGTCATTATATAATAGAAACATATTTTCCTGTTATAGATGAAAGAAAAAAAAGTTTATTCTCTATATCTGAGCCCAAAAAAAGCATCTTAAAAATGATACATAGTTATTATATTGGTGAAATATTGTTAATATTCATTTTATTGAAAAGATAAATAAAAACACTGAAAAAAATAGAATAGAAATATTGTAAAGAAAATGAATACTGTGATAATATATCGATGTTGATCTATTCCTTCTGTTAAGATAAATATCGCAAAATGAATTTAGTCAATAGAAAAAAAAGATACTTTTTCTCTTTATTAAAAAATTAAAATAGTTCAACTATATTATTAATATTATTTGTTAATATAAATAATCAATGAATTGATTTGCGTTTGAAATAGATTTAAAAAAAAAAAAACTTAATTCAAAATAAAAGCATGAATAATTCTATAATTGAATATTAAAAACAAAATAGATTATCTTAAAATTAAGTATTAAAAAGAGATATGAGCTATAAAAGTAAGAAGATTTTTAAAATCTCTTATAATAAAAATTCATTTCAATTAAACATAAAATTTATTTTAGAAAATTTTAATTATAAAATATTAAACGGATGTTAAATATAGACATTTGATATATTATTTTCAACATAAAACCGATTAATTTTCAGATAAGAATTTATCTCAATGAAATAACTCATGCATATAATATCATCTAGAATAATAATCATGAACAACCTATTATATATCATATTTAGTAAATGAATCTCTATTAAATAGATTTATTCGTCTGTGATAATTAAATAATATATATATTATCATTCTTTAGCAATCTAGACACGATTTTTTTTCAGTTTTTTAGGTTTTTGTTTTTAATCATATAGATCTAAATATGACTTCATTCTTTTTTTTTTTTGTCGAACTCATCTTTAGAATTGAATAGAAAAAAAGCAATAATAAGATCAAATATGAATTTATTTATCTTGGAATAAAAAGAAAATCAAAATTTGAAATCTATCATAAATAAAAAAATTGTTTAATAGTCGAATTTATCATTAATTATTCATATGAAATCTTATTTCCGTTAAAAAATATTAACATTT